TATCCGCGTTATCGCTAACGAGCGTCCTCGCGTAAACGTTCGCATCCGGAGCGCTCGTCGAGATCGCGCTCAAACCGCAACGCGCCGTCATCGCAGTTTCGCCGTTTCTCGCTCTCGACAATGTGGCTCGCGCGCGTAATCGCGTTAACCGCGTGTTTTATCGCCGCGAGGTGCATCAATCCCACAATTACGGACGAAAATTACGAGCTCACGTTCGATTACCTGCAGAAATACGGATATCTGTCCAAAGATGTAGACGCGGTTCCGGCTCAGAGACGAAACGACGTTCTTCGCAAAGCCTTCGAGGATTTTCAGAATTACTACGATTTACCCGGCGACGGAACGCCCAACAACAAAACGCTGCAATTGATGAGTAAACCGCGATGCGGTTTCCGAGATATTCTGAAGCACGGAACGAAAGCGAGCCTATCCAAATGGCCGAAGACGCACCTGACGTGGCATTTTCACTTAACCGACGAGACCGAGCTGAGAACGGCGCGGGCCGCGTTCGACCTGTGGTCGCAGCATTCGGCATTGACGTTCGAACGCTCCGAAACGCCGAATGCCGACATTATAATATCTTGGCGACGCCTACGTCACTATAACACGAATACCAAGGTAAACGGAGCAATTTGCTCGGACAAATTCGACGGTCCCGGCAACGTGCTCGCCCACGCGTCTCTCCCGACGGACCAAGCGGGGTTCGTCTCCGAGGTGCACGTCGACGGGGACGAGCCGTGGCACATTTACGTCAATAAACATCCCGCGGATAGGTTCTCCCTGCATTACACGCTGACGCACGAGATCGGCCACTCTCTCGGATTGGTGTACAACAGGCGCAAAACATCGGTGATGTTCGCGATACAGCCGGACCAGCAGTATCCGGTGAAACTCGACCACAACAAGCCCCCGCGTCGGACGCCGGCAACGCCGCCGCCGCCATCGCCGGATTTGTCCTCGATCGCGTGAACGGGATATTGATTTTAGAAAATTGAATGTACATCTCGTACAAGCGTTACGTTTGGTCGATCGATCTGGACGGTAGGACGTACAACGGACCTTTAGCCCTTTCGAATCACATGAGCTTTCTTCACGACAATTACACGCGCGTGACCGCCGCCTATCAATCCCCATCCGGCAATCTCGTGGTGTTCGTAGATAATTTGGTATACTTGGTTCAATATCCGGAATTTAGTCTGCGCCCAGGTTGGCTGAAGACCTTGCAAGAACTCGGATTTTCCAAAAACACGTTGATCAACGGAGCGGTGAACACCCACAGAGGACGTTCCTTCGTGGTGTTCAACGGTAACGCGGTGGGCAAGATAGACGAATGCGACAAGGACAAGAGAGTCGCCAAATTTACGCCCCTCAAGGCGACGTTTCCCGGAATACCGACCGGCGTGACGTCGATCTTTCGCTACGTCGACGGCAATCTGTACTTCACCACTCGGGCGCAGTTCTACAAATTCAACGAATTTACGAGGACCGTCTCGTCGGCCGGTAAATTTGATCTGCGGATACTAAATATCGTCTGCCCTAGGGCCGAACTGTTGCAGCAGTTGCGCGATCTCCTTGATCGAATCGTACGCCTCAACGATAACTCATTAACGTCAGCGGCGAGCGATTATTCGTATGATGACGACACCAGCGTTCGGCTCTCCGATTTCCGCATCCGTCGAAGGAAGTAGAGGACCGCGCAAACCCACACCACGCCACGCGCGACATAAGTCAGATCTTTTTTACTTATACCGATGTGTCCCCCCCAAGGCATCAGTGTCGCATCGTCGGCCGAATATGACGCGTCGGAAAAAAAATCAGAAACGAACGGTTACCGCAGCGCGCAGCGCGAAATGTTCTCGACGTTGGCCGATCGACCCGCGCCGAGGGGTATTTCCCCTCCGGAAACAGCGGATTCGGAGGCGAAATACAACGGCAATAAAATACAAAAGATCAGTTTGATGGACGATCGTCATTATCGTCCTCATCGCCAGGAGTCGCGTCGCAGCTCTCATCCTTCCACCGACGCGCCCGTCGAGGACGATCGTCATTATCGCCGTCATGGTCAGGAGTCTCGTTTCAGCTCTCGCCCTCCCTCCGATTTACCCGTCGAGGTGCCCGCGGTGCGCGTCCTGACGACGCGCTATCTGCTGACGACGACTGGCTACAAGTACATAGCTATAGGTATCACGATCAAGTCACCATGGTACAGCACAAACACCACGCCTTCGTACGTGGATATCGCCCTGGGAAACAAACAAGGCAGGGAGATCTCCCTGACGCTCGACATGTGGAAAGGGCTGGTCGAGCGCAAACGCGACATATTGTCGTGCATGGAACGCGGTCTCTCCGACGGAACTCGTCCCCCCTAGCCGATGTCGATCGAAGGGATGACGCTGCGATTCGGAATAATCAACAACACGCCGATCCTACGTATGGAGCTACTCAACCTGGCTCGCGTGGCGATGGTGCTCAAAACCCTGCTCACGCTGTACGATCTCCAATTTTGCGTCAATCGCGTCGTCCGGGCGCTGAGCACAGCGACCGAGGAGGTCGACGCGAAGTATTCGCGCTATCGGGAGATAGCCGCCCACGCGAACAAGACGGGTACCTCGGCTCAAACTGGGATACTGAAAAGCGATTTCTTCGATCCTGACAACATCGTCGACTGCGAGATCGCCGCGCTCTGTTTCCGATCCTAATAATAATGTCGCGTCTACAAATATATATATTCATACGAGCGAAACAATGTAAACGCGCGTGTATTTTTTTTCTAAATAAAATAGACTACGTATCTCATCTGTGCGCTCTCTTTTTCTTTTTTCCCCTTTTTTCCCAGATTCGTATACCTATCTCCGCGCGACCGCGCTTACCCCCGATGTCGCGGCGATCGTGTCATCCGCGACGCGGATCGAAACGACCTTCGAACCGAGAATAAAACAACAACGAAAAAAAGCGATCGAGACTCGCGAAACGAACGACCTTGAACGCATTTTTTTCCCGGAACGTCGAGAGGAGCGACCTCGAACGAGTTTGAACGAGTCCGGACGCGCCCAGACGCGCGCGAGCGAAAAAATTAGCGCGCGATTTTCCAAAACAGTCGGTAACGGCGCGAGCGCCGCTCCGAGCGCCCCCTTCAGAACGCCCGCGTCTCCGCGCCGAGTCCCGTTGGCGGCCCTGCGGCGCGATATTCCCTATTTACCCGCCTAGGGAATTTACTTCCAACAAGGTTCCCACAAATACCAGTAAACAGCCGTCCCCCCGCGTCGCGCTCCCCCCTTCGCTTAGCAAAACGCCTAGGGACTTTTCCCCCCGCGTAGCCCCCCCTTCGATGACCTTTAACACCGTCCCTCGACCCCCTCGCCCACCGCTTGCGGCGTTCCCCCCGCGGCAGCGAGGCACCCCCCGACCCCGCTAACCGCAAGCGAGATGCTTGAGTGTAGAAGTGGAGGTTATCCCCCTACTTATATATGTTTCAGATTGGTACCATCCTGTTTAAACATAATCAATAAATTCGCGTTGTCGCGTATAAGATGCTTCGGTATCTTTGCATACGTCTGACAAAGATAGAAAGAGTCAACGTCCGCGTGCCGGCCCATTGCAAAGTATTCTCTTATTGTATCTTGCTTGTCGCACGCTACGTCATCAAAGAGAAAAATAGAATTCGGGAGCGCCTCGCTCGGCGGAATGACGTCACTGTTATTCGAGAACGTAAAATAGCCAATCTCTTCTATCGGTGTTAGTATATTTTTTAAATATCTATATTTCGGTTGTTGCAACGATTTCGAGTACACATACACGTTCTCGAAACGTACACCGTGCGGACTTTCCAGCAAGCTTATCAAGACGTTTGTCTTGCCGCAATTCGACGGACCGCAGATGATACCGCGTATAGAAATCGGTAGTATGCCCCCATGTTTGCGTACCTCTTTCGTTAACTGCATTTTATCGTCAAAGTTTGTCACTTTGATCGTCCGCGATTGTCGTACAAACCGCATTTTACCGCCCCTCCACAACGAATAAAAAACAGTATCGAGAAAGCTGGCCTATTTATAGAGACGCGTAGAGCTGAGATGCTCAGTCGTTAAAATGTTTTTGCTCGTGTCGGATAACAGCGATATTTACGATTTAACCGCCGAGCAGTTAAAGTATATACCAAAAGTCATTCTACTACGACAGTTTTATAATCACATAGATTATTTGTGGGATAAGCTTCCCAAACATATCAAGGCAGATTCGGAGGTTCAGCAATATCGGCGCTGTTTAATACATTATAATTTGCCGTGTCAGCAAACGCACATCGACGGTCCGCCGCCGTTGATAGAAAACTGCGGCGAATGCCGCCGAAGATAGGTCGAGGTCTGCTGAATCGCGCGATAAACGCGTTTCCGATCGAATTACATATCCCCGGCTATCAATTTTGCGGTCCGGGAACTCGTTTAGAAACACGATTGGCAAGAGGTGATCGGGGTATTAATCCATTGGACGCAGTGTGTCGCGAGCACGACATAGCCTACTCGCGTAGCAACGATCTCGCAGAACGACACGTGGCAGACAATATACTCGCCGCGAAAGCTCGAAAACGTGTCACCGCGAACGATTCGACTTTCGGAGAGAGAGCTGCGGCTACAGCCGTCTGGGCGGCCATGAAGGCTAAAACGAAACTCGGTATGGGTTTGAAAACAAAGAAAAAGAAGAAGACCAAGCGAATACTTCCGGTAGCGAAACGTGGCGGTATCCTACCGATCCTGCCGTTATTAGGGGTTCTCGGCTCGTTGGTCGGCGGAGCGGAGGGAGTCGCAAAGGCCGTGAATGATGACAAAGCCGCGCGACGTTAGCTGGAGAAGATGCAACGTCACAATCGCGCCATGGAAGGTCACGGACTTTATCTCGCTCCGTACAAACGCGGACGGGGAGTCTCGAGAAAAAAAAACGTCGAAGAGACGCTAAAAATCCCCAAGGGTGTAACTGCCAATGTACAACTGCAACAATTGGCAAAACGTATGCGCATTCCATATTTTAGAGGTATTTTCATGCGCGACTCGCTACCGATCGGCGGTATACGTCGAAACAAGAGCGGTATCGTGAATTTGGATAATACTGAGGGACCGGGTACTCACTGGGTGGCGTACGCGAAAAGGGAAGATTGTGCCATATATTTCGACAGTTTTGGCTATCTTCGACCACCGAGAGAATTGGCGCAGTATCTAAAAAACAATGTAATAGAGTACAATCGCACGCCTTATCAGCGATACGATCAGAGCAATTGCGGACAACTGTGTCTGCGTTTTCTACAGTCGGTTGACAATCAATTTAAAGACCGGCGTTACGTTGTTTAATCTCAGTATTCATTCAAACATGTCACTGACATTTACGCTCACCGGCAAGAGCAGCATCTTCGCGGTAAGCTACTTTCCCGCCGTGGATTTGAGCGATGGCGATTACAAGCTCGGTCTAACATATTTTGAAACTTATCACACGATACCGAATGTAAATTTGTCAAACAATAAATTCTACTATGACGACGACGACAAGGAGATTACCATTCTCGAAGGATCGTACGAACTGCGTGATATAGACATGTATCTGAAACGCGCTCTTTTATGGAACCAATCCAATAATGTCTCAACAAACGAAGATGAACCGCACCCATTGATTATTATTATTCGTGCTAATAACAATACGATGAAGAGCGAGATCAAGTGTGCTTATCGGATAAATTTCACAAAACCGAACAACATTGGATCGCTGCTGGGATTTTCAGCGAATCGCGTGCTGGAGTCGCGACAATGGAACGAATCGGATGTTCCGCTAAATATCATCAACGTAAACATCATTCGCATAGAGTGTAACGTGACAGCGGGTGCGTACAGCAACGACAAGTATGTGCACACGATACACGAGTTTTCACCGAGCGTGCCTCCAGAATATAAGGTATCGGAAACGCCGGCACAGATTATTTACCTTCCGATCATCGTACGGAGCATTTCAGACTTGACGCTTCGCGTCGTGGATCAGGACGGTCAATTGATTGATTTTCGCGGAAAAGAGATCATCGTTAGACTGCATGTACGAAGACGACAGCGATAACGTGAGATGCTCGTACTGAACGAAGCTGAGCAGGTGCAACAGACGAGAAACAAAATTAGAGAGACAATCCGATCGCCAAAGAAGAAACTCACTGCGAACGTTGAATTTTTGAAATCATTGGGTTTCGTCGTACGAAATAGTTAATATCTTAAACATTGGAGGTGAACCGATCTTTGACGACAGCGTCGTAAAGATTGAAACACACACGTACAATTCGTACGCCAACACAACGTTTGGACATAACGATGAGATAAGAATACCCATACAACAGCAGGATTTATACACGTTGCCGTGCGAGAGCTTTCTCTACGTTGAAGGAAAATTGACGATAAAGAGAAAAAATGACGAGTCTGTGGCAACGCTTGCGAATAATTGCGTGGCGTTCATGTTTGATAAAATTCGATATGAGCTCAATGGCGTGGAGATTGATCGCAACAGAAACGTTGGCATAACCAGTACCATCAAGAACTATGTATTGTTTACAAATGAGCAAAGCAAAAATTATGCAAAATGCTGGATAGGACATTTTATTCCCGGAGGGATATTTCAACTTTTGCGTACCGCTCAACACATTGTTGGGCTTTTGCGAGGATTACAAACGCGTGGTTGTTAACGCTCGTCACGAATTAATTTTGATACGAGCGCGCAGCGATAACAATTGCATTGTAGAAAATCCGGCGACGGAACCGGAAATTGAATTGTTTAAAATACAGTGGCGAATGCCTCACGTCATATTAAACGAGATCAATAAGCTATCCATGCTACGGGCCTTGGAAAGCGGGCAATATCTTAGTGTTAGTTTCCGTTCATGGGATCTGTACGAGTACCCCATGTTGCAGAGCACGACCAAGCATTCGTGGGTCGTCAAAACGGCGACTCGGCTGGAGAAGCCGCGGTACGTTATCTTTGCGCTGCAGACCGGGCGCAAGAATATCATGTCTCAAGATGATAGCGTATTCGATGACTGTAACTTGACCAACGTGAAACTTTATCTAAACTCTGAATTTTATCCGTACGATGACATGAATCTGGATTTTGGAAAAAATTAATACGCCGTTCTTTTCGATATGTATGCGCGTTTTCGTAAAGCTTATTACGGATGCGACTACTTCGATACGCTTTGCACCGTGGTTACATTCCTGACAAAAGGACCTTTTGTTGTCATTAATTGCTCGCGACAAAACGAATCTGTCAAGAGCGCCACCGTGAATGTGCGAATAGAATTTGACTGTAAAGAGAATGTACCGGCAAATACTACCGCTGTTTGTATCGAATCGAATTTGCCGGTCCGCATCTTACGCGTCGGAACGCTATCTCCCGATCGGGTAGTCACTCCGCGAACGAGGAGAGAAAATTCAAAAATTAACTGAGGCGTCGTTTTGTAGACTTTCACTTTATTTTACAATAAGCTTGCGCTCGACGTGTCGCTCTCGATAGTTTCTCAAGGCTCACTGAGCACCCGGCCGGAGCAAGCGGAGCGATCGCGGCCGGAGCTCCGAACTTTTCCGCGAGGAAATTTCGAGACGTGAGAAACGCTGATTGGCTCCAAATCGTCGAGCGACCAGGCTATTGGTCGCAGTACGAGCGATCACGCGATATACACCGGCGGTCCGGGCGCGAGCAAAAACACCAAAAAAACCGGGGGGAAGGCAAATAAACTCGTTTTGGAGCAAATCGAGCGTTTCTCGAATATTCCTAACGCTCGCTTTCACCTTTCAATCGTCAATTCGCAACGAATATTATTTCGGGAATATTCGAGCGCGTTCCGCACTTGCGGGGACTGGTCTTTTCAACATACCGCCCGCCTCGTATTCGAACGGATACGAAAGAAGAGGCACGAGAACGTTTGATTTTCGCAGTCGTTTTCCCTGAATCGAGAGAGGCAGTTTTCACATTATTAAGTCTATCTTACAGGTAGTTGTCGTGTGTTTATTTTACATCACCTTAGAACGTAAGCGTACTTAACTTATGCGTACTATATTTACAGTCAGATATTTACAATGATACAGTCAACTATTTACAATGATATGATCATACGTGAATCGAGAAACCGTATCGCTGTCGGTTATTCCGACGAGGATCGGTTAATGGTTTCAGGCAGGCGACAGATTTGAGTTATTGGTCTCTTGAATTCCGAGTTAGCCGTACGTACAGTAATCACCCGTACGCGTCCGTCAGCTCCCGGGTGAACCTGTTAGATTCGCGCGAGCTCCCACTTTGAGGGAGGTAGTAAGTTATTTTTCAGCAGAACTAGCTCGTCGATTTTGAGGTCGGGAGACGATTCAGACCATTTATGGCGTTGTTGCAGGGAATGTAAATAATCTACTGACCAAGAACGCCAAATCTGTTCCTGCATTAACCGTATATATATGTTGCCATCGCGATAGGCGGCTCGTGTCGAGTTCGAGGACGGATTCCTCCGGTACGTTAACAAGCGGACGTCCTATTAGAAAGTGTCCAGGCGTTAACGCGGAAAGGTCCGTCGGATCATCGCTGAGAGCGGTGATTGGTCTAGAATTTAGGCAAGCTTCGATCTTACACAAGAGTGTGACGAATTCGGCCCGCGAGTAGTCCTCTACGCACTCAAGATGAATAGCTCTGGTCGCGAGACATACGAACACGGCGACGTAATGCTTCCTCCCCCTTTGACCCCGGCCAACAAACGGAATAACGTTCATAGGGCCGGCGTAGTCAACTCCGGTGTGAGTAAAGGGTGGAGAAGGATTTACTCGCTGTTTGGGCAGATCGCCCATGAGCTGAGTAGCGGTGTTCGCGGACTGACGAACACACGCGACACAGCGAAGTACATGGGACCTAACCAGACTACGCGCGGAAAGAATCCAGAAGTTCTGTCTCAAAACTCTCAGCGTCAGCTGCGTTCCGCCGTGGAGCGAGAGTTTGTAAGCTTGGTCAATTATTAGATCCGAGATGCGATGTTTCGGGAGTATTACGGGGTGGCGCTCATTGTAGCCCAGTGTTGAATTTTCAAGCCGCCCGCTAAGCTGTATTAACTCATCTTCCCCAATGAATGGGTTAAGAGAACGTAACGGACTCGTCCGGGCAATAAGAAAGCGGGCCTTTAGAGCTTTCCACTCGGTTGAGAAATAAGTTAATTGCACTGATCGAAGCCAAAAGGCGGAAGCATCTCGGAGCTCCCGTATGGATAATCTTGAAGTTACAATTGGTGAAGAGGCGGACTTGTTTTTTAAGTTCTGAATAAAGCGTTTGATATACGCAGTAACGCGGAGGAGCCGGGTCCAACTGGAGCAAGTGTCAGGTAGGTCCCATTCCGGAGAAGAGTCGGCATGATGAATAGCAGATTTACGCTCTTCCGCGAGTACCGTTTTGAGCGTATTCTCTCGCATGGGCAAAGGTTCGTCCGGAATAGGCCATGAGTCGGAGTGCTCACGGAGCCAGAACGGCCCGGACCACCATAACTCATGTCTAACCAATTTAGTGGCTGAAAGGCCTCTAGATGCGCAATCAGCCGGGTTATCCTTTGAGCGAACGTGATTCCAGTTCATGGAAGGAAGGCGAGTTTGTATTTCCGAAACGCGGTTGGCAACGTACGAATTCCATCTGGATGGATGTTGACGGATCCAAGCTAACACAATGTTCGAATCCGTCCATCCAAACAGAGGGACTCCTTCGAATTTCAAAGAAGTTCTGACCCATTCCAATAATCTAATCAACAGCACGACGGCGTTGAGTTCGAGTCTAGGAACACTGACTGTCTTTAACGGGGCGACCTTCGTCTTTGCCGCAAGAAGACTGATCTGTATGTTCGAATTACTATGCGGGACTCTGAGATAGACGACGGCAGCATAAGCTCTGGAGGAAGCGTCAGCAAACCCGTAAAGTTCTACTCCGGTCATGTTTCGATGCATTCTGGTCCATCGAGGAATGCGCACGTCGTTAATCTTACACAGATCAGTGCTGTAATCGGTCCAACGCGTCAATAGATTTTCCGGAATCGGAGTATCCCATTCAAGTTTTCGTAACCAGAGCTCCTGCATTAGAATTTTAGCAGAGATGACGATGGGGGATGCCCATCCAAGGGGATCATAGAGCTTCGCGATAAATGACAATATGGAGCGTTTCGTGTGCACCGTTGGAGAGCATTGAGTTGCCAGAAAACGGAATGAATTCTCGTGTGGCGACCAAGACAGACCTAATACTTTGAGAGTATCGTCCTCTTTGAGGTTACGATCAGAGGATTCGCATTGATCCACGGGAATGTCTTGCAAAAGTTTCGCTGACCATTTATGGAGGGGAAATCCTCCTCGCTTCATTAAAGCGATGAGCTGTGCGCGGGTTTCCTTGAGAGTCGCGATATCGTCCTCCCCGAAGAGGACATCATCAACGTAAGTTTGTTCTTCTAATATCTGGAGAGCGGCTGGGAAGGCCTTGCCTTCGTCCAGTCCTAATTGACGTAGAGTACGCTTCGCGAGAAATGGAGACGGCACTTGGCCGTATGTGACCGTGAGTAGACAGTAAAGTAGGATCAGTAGGCTGTTTCGCGGACGCCAAAAAATTCTTTGAAAGTTTGCATCATCCGGATGTATCAAAATTTGGCGGCACATTTTTGCAATGTCCGCAGTATATACGTAGCAAAATTGTCTCCAACGTAATATGATCGCCGCGATATCTTGTTGAAGATTGGGGCCGACCATCAGGTGATCGTTAAGCGAAGTTCCGTCGCTTGTTTTACAGGAAGCGTTAAATACTACGCGAAGTTTCGTAGTTGAGCTCGACTCGCGCAGCATGAAATGATGAGGTATGTAGACTGGGGGAAATAGCGATGCCTCGCACGCGCTCGCTAATTTTATGTGACCCATAGACTCGTATTCCGCAAGAAATTCATGGTACTGATTAGCGATTGTTGGCCTTTGCAGCAATCTGCTTTCCATTTTTTTGTATAAGAGCATAGCCCTTTGAAGAGTGTCACCAATATTACCCGGGGGACCGTTCTTAAACGGTAGACGCACGATGTAGCGCCCCTGCGAATTACGCGAGTGGGTTTCGACGAAGTGTCGTTCACATCGTTCGTCTTCCTCAGTAAGAGGAGTTTGAGCAGGGATACTTTCGTCAGCCCAAAATCGCTGAAGTAACGAGTTTGTTTCTTCACATGTTACGCAGTTAAGAACCGAAGCGGATTCCGTATCTGAGCTAGCGTTTCCGGTAGGGCCTGAGACGATCCAGCCCAAGACTGTGAGCTGAGCCGTGGGAGTGCCGAAAGGCCCTTGACGAACGTCATTCAACAATAACGAACCGTATAAGTCCGCGCCGATGAGTACATGAATCGGGTGACGGCTAGACGGCTCAGGATCCGCTAATTTCAGATCATGCAAATGTGGCCACAATTCGGTAGGTCTGGTTTGAGAGGCTGAATATGACGTTATTTTCTGATAGACATAACCCGTAAAAGGAAACGTCGGACCTTGTCCCGAACAGGGCGCGAGAGTGAGATGCACGCGAGATTTAGCCATGCCGCTAAATTTCTCGCCGAAGCAATGTATTTTCAAACCAGCACAATAACGCCTGGTACGCATTATTTGGCAAAGCGACTCCGAAATAAAGCTGTACGTAGAGCCTTGATCCAATAACGCGCGCAACTTAAAGGCACGACCCTCCGGAGTAGTCAGTTTAATCCATGCGGTCGCGAGCAGTACTCGTGGCGGCGGTTTTGTAAGTTCTCGGGAGGAGTGAACTGTTTGAACAGACGCCGATGCAACCGTGCTCGGCGTAGATGGAACGGGTAACGCGACAGGGTTTGACGGCTCTGTAATCGACGCGATGGCAGAAGGATTCTGTTTCTTTGAACCTTCGTCGAATTCGATATGTAAGAGTGTATGATGATTTCGACGGCAACGGTTGCATCGACCTTTGCTCGGGCAATTTTTTAAGAAATGACCGATTCGTAAACAATTGAGACAACATTTGTACTGACGAGCAAGTTGTATTCGTTGTTCTACCGATTGACCTTTAAAGTCGTCGCATTTGGCCAAATAATGATTGCCGGAGCAACCGACGCATTTTTCGGCGGACACGTTATTGACTGACGAACGGGCTTTGTTAGCGCGCGGGTTATTTGCCGCAAGATCGGACTGCGCGGAGTAGTCCGCTAGACCGCGAATTCGCAGAGTCATAAAATCGTGGATTTCCTTGTATGTCGGGTACGCGTCGGAATTGCCTTGTATCAAATTCCACTCATTACGTGTTTTCGAACTAAATTTCTGCGCTATCAAGTACACAAGCAAATCGTCCCAATAAATAACCGGACGATCTAAGTTCGTTAAAGCAGCTAGAGAAGCTGATACGTTGTCGCGAAGTTGTTTCAACTCGATAACGTTTTCTGTCTTCATTTTAGGCAGATCGGCGAAAGCATGGATATGCGAATGAATAATCGCGTTTTGATTATCGTATTCGTCCGCGAGGAGTTGCCATGCGGCTTGGTAATTTGCATCGGAAACTTTAATACTGTTGATTAGCAATGCGGCGTCACCCGTAACGCTCGCCTTCAAATAATGAAGTTTTTGAGTATTCGATAATGACTCATTTACCGCAACGAGCGACTCGAAAATACCGCGAAAATTTTCCCATTCAGCAAAATTTCCCGAAAATTTGGAAAGCGTGATACGAGGCAATTGTAATGATGCTCCGGCGAATGCATCGCGAAAAGAATGGTCGCTACCTTTTTCGGCGGTGGACGGCTCGCTCTTGGAGAGTTTACCGATGGTGTCGTTGAGGTAATCTGATGCTTCCAGATAGGCGTCCTCGGCTGCGTAAAACTGCTCCTCAAGGAAGTACGGGGCCGTCTTCTTTTCCTCGGCGGTCGCCGTCTGGTGAATGCTGGCGTGGCATTTTTCCCATAGCGTTTCCAACGCCTGTAATCGACTCTTTGTTTTGGAAAGAATGATTTGACTCTTTGACAACTTCTTGAAGTTTATCAATACTCTCCTTATCGACGTGATAACACAATTTTGCTCGATAAGGAGTCTTTGGAGATCCTCCGACATGACTGCCTCGGGTCCAGTAATCACGGTCGGTAAAGAATGTATCGTAGTGAATCCGCGGCGAGCAGACAGCTCGGGTGCGCGCGGGATTACTCCGATTAGCGAATATCTCGGTACACTCGTGAATTCCGTTCAGGAAGATTGCAGGCACGGGCTTCACCGGACTTCTGCGAATCTCGAGGAACACTCGTGACGAGAGCACTGGTTTCAGTTCGAACGGGACACTAATATTTATAGAGCGAGTGTAGAGCGCTCCGAGTTTTGAGTGAGCCAATTGTCAGTGATGCCGCACTCGTATTGCAATTCTTACTGCATTGTTTCGTGAGACCGCCGTTGAACCGGGAATTAACGATTCGATCCCGATTTTCTCGTGCGACGGTTCTATCGGCGAATGTCTGCGCGTATCCGTGCTGGCACGCCGGGCTGACGAAAACAATCACTTGTGCTGCGCAGCGAGCGAGAAGCAAGGAGCACGTATAAGCGATGGGCGACACGGTCGCGAACTTCGTTTCACGTGCTTGCGAATCCGGCTCGAAGGACCATTAATTGTTTGTATCGAATCGAATTGGCCGGTCCGCACCTTTCGCGTCGGAACGCTATCTCCCGATCGGGTAGTCACTCCGCGAACGAGGAGAGAAAGTTCAAAAATTAACTAAGGCGTCGTTTTGTAGATTCTTACTTTATTTTACAATAAGCTTGCGCTCGACGTGTCGCTCTCGATAGTTTCTCAAGGCTCACTAAGCTCCCGGCCGGAGCAAGCGAAGCGATCGCGGCCGGAGCTCCGAACTTTTCCGCGAGGAAATTCGAGACGTGAGAAACGCTGATTGGCTCCAAATCGTCGAGCGACCAGGCTATTGGTCGCAGTACGAGCGATCACGCGATGTACACCGGCGGTCCGGGCGCGAGCGAAAACACCAAAAAAACCGGGGGGAAGGCAAATAAACTCAATTTGGAGCAAATCGAGCGTTTCTCGAATATTCCTAACGCTCGCTTTCACCTTTCAATCGTCAATTCGCAACAAATATTATTTCGAGAATATTCGAGCGCGTTCCGCACTTGCGGGGACTGGTCTTTTCAACAACCGCCTATTGTCTCATCTTGCATGATCGCGTAATCGAATACTGTCCGTTGTCGAACGTAGTGCGCAAAATCATGTAAATTGCAATATTAGCAAATATTGCAATATAAGCAGATACTGCAATATAAGAGACACTGAAGTACTGCGATAAGATACAGATTGCTCCATTATTTTGTCATGATCGTACCGACGTTTATCGATCTGCAATGATTTACCGTCGGGATTGTCGTGAAAAAGGTGGCGGTTCTGAGAAACGGAACCGTGTTGGCGCATTACATTTTTACATGTCCCATGCCATGGAATCTCCTCATGAAATCCGACAAGTCATGCGCTTCCTGGTTGATTACAAATCACCATGGACTACGATGGGAGGATGGAAACATGGCGTAAAGCATGGCGAAACATCTAGTTATATCGGCCGTACTTGGAAAGGGCGACGAGACATCGACTCTTGTGTACGTCAAGGGATGCCAGAAACGAGAATGGCTGGTGGATCTGTTTGAGAATAAAGCGAGGAAAAATCTAAAAATTGAATCTTTGGATGCAGATTACGAAGATATCGAATCTTTAAATAATCTAGATGTTACTAATACTGTAAGATGCGGAAAACATGTTAAGAATTGCGCATTACAAAATGTATTAAAAATATTTAACTGGAGGTCGCGACACCAGAAAAAATTATGATTTTTTTGAAATAAACTTTATATGTATTATATATAAATGTTTTATTTTCTTTTTCCTACATAGTTTGTAGTATAATATAGATGTTTTAGTTGTTTAAAAGCTGTTCAAAAGCTGTTTTAGCTGTTCAAAAGCTGTTTTAAAGATGTTTTAGTTGTTTAATAGCTGTTTTTAAAGACGTTTTAGTTGTTTAAAAGATGAAGGAGGGTATCGGCCTATAACGAGCGAAAACAAATTAGTTGGAATTATCGATTTTTTCAAATGTATTGTCAACAATGTTGAAGGGACGTTTCGGCACACCGTGCCTTCTTCAGCCTCGTAATATACATTAAAATATACGCTTCAGACTATTTTTACAATCAAAAAAATACCTTAGATGGTTGACTGTGTCACGACGTTGTTGCCCAGTCGCACGGAGGATTCGAATCAGTACGGTACTTAAAAATAGCTCTCGGTGTTTCCACAATTTAGTACGTAGAATCGTTAACTTTTGTTACTATTTTACTTTTTGACAAATAACATAATTCACTTCATTACATTACAGTTCACACGCGTTCTAATTTTATATATTTGACTCCTATTGTGACGAACTGGCTTCACTGACTGACACGATTGATTCCCATTGTCCACTGAGGAAGTAATCATGGATCCTGTTCGATTTAAAATGAAGATTTTCAAACAAATGCGCACCGAGATAACTCAGGCTGTCAACAGCATTGAGATTCACTGGTTAAATCCATACGTAGTTATAAATTTTGTGCGACTTCATAATATCTAAGGTATTTTTTTGATTGTAAAAATAGTCTGAAGCGTATATTTTAATGTATATTATGAGGCTGAAAAAGGCACGGTGTGCCGAAACGTCCCTTCAACATTGTTGACAATACATTTGAAAAAATCGATAATTCTAACTAATTTGTTTTCGCTCGTTATTGGCCGATACCCTCCTTTATTGTTTATATACACGAGCTTGTTTTGTATTTTTATGTTTAAAAGATGTTTTTTAGTTGTTTTTAAAGACGTTTGATAGCGGTTCAATAGCAATTATACAGATCAAATCATCGAAAGTCAATGGCGCGATGTCGTTTTCAAGAACATACGTGCCTCGCGGTGACTTCATCGCACACGTGCAAAACTGCACATTGTAGATTTTTCGGAAGGCGCAATTGTATGGATGCTACTAAGATCATGGTGAAATTAGATATGATAAACGAACGATGTGACAATAGTGAGATGTAGAAGGATGAATTTGATGGTACGCTCAGTAGCCGAGGACTGGAAGTAAAAGTCGGTTGGCGTGTTCGGACGTGTCTGTTTTGTCGAAAAATTTCAAGAGTTGCGACTGTTTGTACTGTCAGCACTGTGTGATTTTAACAGTAGTACCGTGTATTGCGCCTTTTAAGGCATACAACGTTCTGTAAAATGGATTTCAAAGAATTGCAGTTTGAAGGAGAAGAAAGAATGGAAGTTGAAGCAAACGTTGAAGAAATGGAAGTGAATGAAGAAATGGAAGTAAATGACGAGAAAAGAATGGAAGTTGATGATGACGCAATATTGTCAGACGATTCGTGTTATGATAGTAAAATGGCTGATGAGGATATTCCGGACGAAATTTTCAGAGTGTTAAATCAAGCAGAAGTAAATGCGTTACACCCTCTGACAAAGATGTGTTGCATATACTCTTATTTCACTCCAGGACATTTGAAGTTTTGTGCGTTATGCATTGTCAGAATACACAGATTGTTCTCGATGTTATACGCTGTTCGCAGACATGACACATGTCCGTATATCCTCATGGATGGTCTCTTTTGTTTATTTTGTGGAGACCCATTATATCTAATTTTACCGTGTAATCTGTCCTATGTGTGTTTTTGTGTAAATTTTTACTGTGTAAATAGCCTGTGTAAATAACCTGCAGTATATGTATAGTGTATACATATTATTGTGTAAATTAAGAGACTATGGCCTGTATTCTGAAGGTGACTGACTCAAGAGCCAGGGGTTTCTGATTCAAATCCAGCGGTGGTAAGCGAATTTTCTATGTATAATATAAATTTATTTAAACGCGATCGCGAGCGAGAACGAGGGACGGGAGCGAGAGGGACCGCGCGCGAATGGGGGGACGGGGGCGTGAGACACCGCGCGAACGAGAAGACGCGCGCGACCGAGGGAGGGGGAAACATCTACGAGGGAGAGATAACGCGAGCGTGCCGTGTGACGTCACGCGGACCAGCGCGGCCGTTGCACGCGGACTCCGCGGCGCGGCGAAACGCGAACGCGGGTCCCTTCGCCCCGCGGCGCCGGAAAACGCGAACCCTCACCCCGCGGACCCCTCCCGCGCGGCGCCGGAAAAACGCGGTACCCCCCTTTCCCGCAACGCTCGAAAACACGGTTCCCGCCTTTCCCTCCCCCGCAGCGCCTGAAAAACGCGGGCTCCCCTTTTCCTCCCCCGCGACGCCCAAAAAACGCTGGTCCCCCCTCTCCCTCCTCGCGACGCCCGAAAAACGCGGGTCCCCCCTCCCCCTTTCCTTCGCCCGTGGTACTCCCCCCCGCCCGCGGTATACCCCCCGACCCTCACCCCCCCCCTCAGATCCCCGGCCTAGAACGCCCATAGCTTACCTACTCATGTGTGCTATTAGATTTTTAAACGCTTTATACATATCCATCTACTGCTATCAGAAATTGTGTACTTTACATATCAATTGCTTCAAAACTAGTTCAAAGATCTTGTATTTTTATAAGAATATTCTTGCGAGTTTTTTTAATCATTTTCTTGTTTTTTATTAAAACCGTGTGACATGACAAAGTCACGTCTTCTGCCCGGATGGAAACTCGGCCGAGGGGAGCGTCAAGGGTGGTGCCTCCCTTTACCCGAGAAGGGCGAGGCAGTTGCGTTCAGAATAGGTCTAATTACTTTTGCGAGACTTACAGATTGTAGAAAGAAGTGCTGAGCAGGTGGCCACGATTGCCACGAAGCTCTGTAACGACTTGCGTCGCATCGCGGGAATTACAGGTGGAGGCTCTGCGGGAGGAAGGTCGACGGGCGGGTTACGCTGGGGCCCACAGCCAGTATAGAAGGACGCATCGCGAGGTGGGCGCCCATAACGCCGCGTTCCGGTGCACAGAGAGCACAGGAAGGGACCAGGCCACTCTCGCCCAGCAGATGCTGTCACCGGTCGACGAGCCATACTTACACCCGGCCAGCCTGGCCGTCGAAGACCGGTTTCAAGTCGCGGCCTGACCA